CTGGTTCCCAGAACTCCTCTTACATTTTACACAGTAGCCTAATCGTCTTCTGGGAGGTGGTTGGTGGTGTCCTATAGATGTGCAGTAAGGTTTTGGAATTTTCATTTTCACCCTGGGGGTCAAATGGGGGTCGAAATATGACGTTTTTTATGCAAAAAACCCCTGGTTCCCAGAACTCCTCTTACATTTTACACAGTAGCCTAATCGTCTTTTGGGAGATGGTTGGTGGTGTCATGTTGATGTGCAGTAAGGTTTCGGAATTTTCATTTTCAAGTTTTTGATGCAGTGGAAGAGCTATCACTAATACATATCAGCATATTACTATTAGGTTTGATAAAAATATCTTGAATGATTTATTTAAAACTGAGCTTAACACTTATTTGAGAAAAGAGAGGTCAAGGTCAACGGAAAGGTTGAGGTCAAAATGTTGATGCAGTTGAAAAACTTATATCAGTATGTATTTACTATTAGCATAGAAGTTCAACAAAAATATCAGAAATGGTTTATTTAAAATGTAGATAAGGCCAAATAAAAAAATATGTGTGGTTCGGGTTACCCGACCTTCCCTATTTTATACCCCCGACCCTAAACTTTTTTTTTGGCAATTTTCATATTTTTCCGGAATTTCCCCCAATTTCCATCAATGGCTCCAGTTTAAGTTTTAGTTTCAGCAATGACGGCCTCCTTGCAAAACATAGTGCAAGTGTTTAATAGTGTTAAATCCAAAGCAAGCTAGCATGTAGGTGTCCCCTACCAATATTGACTAGTATATTATCACACCACATCTAAATGCCATTTGCAAAGCAGTGATAGGTACTATTTAGAAAAAAAAATTAAGAAAATCATTTTGTTAAAAAAAAAAAATAAAAAAAAAATAAAAAAAAAAAAAAAATCCCTACCTACCTACCCTAATTTTTTTGGAAGTGTAACCGGAACCACACATATTTTTTTGTTTGGCCTAAACACTAATTTAAAAAAGTGAGGTCAAGGTCAAAGGAAAAGTCAAGGTCAAAAAAGTTGATGCAATTGATATCTCTCAGCAGTATAATTATATCAGCATATGAAGTTTGATAAATATATCTTGAATTGTTTATTCAAAACTGATCTAGACACTAATTTAAGAAAAGTAAGGTCAAGGTCAAAGGAAAATTCAAGGTCAAAAATTTTGATGCAGTTGAAAAGCTTACATCAGTATGTATCAGCATATGACGTTTTATTGAAGTCGGACATGACAAACACTATATGCCTCGGCCATATTCATGGCAGGGCATAAAAAACTTGAATCTACACTATATGAGGATGTTTCCATATCAAAATGACTAACAAGCAAATTCAAAGAATTGTGGTCCCCTGCTTTCCGTGTCCTAGTGGATGGGATGCCATTATTTATGACATATTGTTTCAAATATGCACGCCCTATCATATGTCATTCAAAAGTAATCACCAAAGTTAAAATTTTTGAAAATTAGGTAAAACATCAAGGTCAAGGGGTAAAAAATCATAGCATGCTTGGAAACATATATTGTTACAGGTAATGTACATGTCAAATATAAAAGTCCTATCTCTTCTCAATCAAAAGTTATAAGGAAATATAACATTTTTGAAAAGTAGGTTAAACTTCAAGGTCAATGTCACAGAGTCAAAAGTCATGATATATTTAGAAAGGTCTTGTCACAGGTAATATACATGTATAATATGAACGCCCTATCTTTTCTCTTTCAAAATGATCATTTGAAATAATGTTAAATTTTTTGAAAAGTAGGTCAAACTTCAAGGTCAAGGTCATGGGTTCAAAAATCATGGTATGTTTAGAAAGTTCTTGTAGGTAATGTACATGTGAAATATGAAATCCCTATCTCTTATTATTCAGAAGTTATGACCAAGGTTAAATTTATTGTGACAGACGGACAGACTGACAAACGGACAGACTGACAGACAAATGAGATTTAATGTCCCCTAGGTCCCTTTTGTGAAAACGAACGACAATAATGCCCTTGCTATTCATGAGAAGAAGATTTATGATGGAAAAAATCCCCTGCATTTTTCTATGTAAATCATTGGATCCCCATATGTGGCCCCATCCTACCCCAGTGGGTCATAATTTTAACAAATTTGAAGCTACACTGTCTATGTAAAGAAAGTTTCAACTTTTTGGGCCCAGTCAGTGGTTCTTGATAAGACTTTTTTAAAATGATACCACCAAATTTTCACTAATTCTTGATTATCCCCCCTTGAAAGAGGGTGTGACCCTTCACTTGAACAAACTTGAATCCCCTTTACCCAAAGATGCTTTGTGGCTGGGTTGGTTGAAATTGGCCCGGCGGTTCTAGTGAAGACAAAAATGTGAAAAGTTTACAGGCGGACAGATGAATGACAAACAAAATGTGATCAGTAAACCAGAAAAACTCAAGTGAGCTAAAAACTGATGATCACAAGTACTTGGAAAGAGTTACAGTATTTGAAAAGCAGTTTTTTTTCATGCATTAATTGTTTTCAGAAGCTGAAAAAGTATGACTTGTATCCATGTTGAAAAAACTTCACATTTCAGAAAACAGTATGATTAAAAATAGTTAATCAAGGTGCTTTGAGTAGCAAAATAAGCTAAACTGGTATAGCTAATTCAACCACAGAGCTTAGTGAATTTTAAAATGCACAACCTTTTCAACTCTTAATCATTCTTAAAATATTTATATCATCATTTCTGATTCAAGGGAGAACTAGAGATATGATCAGAAGTATATCCATTGACTAATAAACATGTACATGTATATTGTGTTTTTTAAGTCATTAATGTTTGTTTGTTGTTAAATGTCCCTCTTGGGAATTTTTCACTCATACGGAGACACCACCACTTAAAAATAATGAAGACGTACAAGTCGGATTTAAGGTTAACATTCATTTTAGGAATTTTCAACAATTAATTAAGACGTAAAGAGATAACTCCTTCCCCTTGCCCCTTCCGCTTCCCAGACCCCAGTTTGTTCATGTATGCAAACTAGTCTAATACTTTGGTTTGACATAAAAAAAATGTGAATACATACAAATAGTTTAATGGTCCATCTCTTTGAATGATTTTCATTCCTAATTCTAGGTTGACCCAAATTCATGAATGAAATGTCAAGTAATCTTATCATTGATGCACTTCTATTTAATTTGATGTAGTCATATTATGAACAAGAGAGTGGGGATGACCTCAAGGGTTCATAACCTTAAACCATTAGATGTACATAACATAATAACACAAGAAACAAAATTATGTCTAGTCATATGGAAAAATTTTCTACTATTTAGGAGTCGCATGATCATTTGTCATTTCAGGGACAGGGAGCGGCTAGGGAGATTGGAACCCCCCCCCCCCCCCTGGAATTTGCAGACTTATTTAAATAGGACTATATACTGATTTACAGAAGCAAATAAAAAATGACTTTGGATGCCCTCCCCCTTTAAAAACATGGACCCCACCATCATTGTTTTTATTTTGTTTGTTTGTTTGTTTTTTTTTTATTTTGCTCCTCAGGAAATTCTGGGCTGGAATTTTTTTGGACCGAGGTGTGGACCCCCCTCCCCCCCCCCCCCCGGAAAAAAATTCCCGGATCTATGCCTGTAACTGAATGTAATGTCGACAACGGGAGATAACTCTTCAGAATGTGAAATTCGTCTATTGTGGCATTGATGATCCACTCTCTACGATCGGCTCATACATTCAGTGTCTGAGAGAGAAACGAACGACAACTCTGCATAGGAGATTGCCGATGATCTTTGATCCTTTTTAAACTTTAACCTAACCATTTGCATTTTGGTTTATTTTACCCCAATCTATACTTAAACTTGTACTTACCGACTGTCATAGGTCCTGTCAACTTCATGAAATATAATCCAATTAAAACACAAAATGAATTAATTTCCACTGATATACATGTAACACTGCACCATGTCACATGGCATGTGCAATCTAAAAATGATAATGGTAAAACTAGTACTAGTACTGGTAGGGTGACGCAAGCCCAATGTGATGTAGAAATTTTCAAAAAGGTGTTCACATATATGTACAGTACAAGAACAAATTTTAAATTATCATAACAAACGATGTTTTAACATAACTTTGCCATCTAGGCCTATTTCCAAAAACAGGCAAATTGTGTGTGTGTGTATTGGGGGGGGGGGGACACATATAAATTGATTGGGTATGGCTTTTCAAGGAGGTTTTTGCCTAATCAAATACTAAAAAAAGTTTGCACATTTTGATAAATTCATCAAAAACGCTTTGAACTAAAATAATATTATTTGTTGTTGAGAAGATAAATTTAATTTAAAAAGTTCCAATTATGGGCCAAAAATTTATACCCCCCCCCCCTTTTTTATTAAAACCTAATTTACAACATTAATTAAATTCTGATATTTCAGACTGGTAATGAATTAAGTATATGAAATGCGTATAAGAGGTTCATGGGTCACATGGTCACCTGAGCATTTTATGCTCGATTTGACGAATACATGTACTGTGTAAATTATAGAATTATTTGGACTTTTTCCTTGGTAAGCCCAATATGAAGGAGTGTGCATTTAGAGGCAAACACCTTAGTGCGGGTATTACTGTCTCATGACAGCATCTAGTTTTATTTTGTTTTGTCGTATACAGGGTTAAGTTGTTGGTAATGAATAAAAAAAGTCTTCTTATAGGAAGGAAATTGGATGCGAAAACAATTTATTTTGCGTGCAGTCGCCGTATAAAAAACATATCTACACCATTCAGGAGATCCTGTGGAATTGTAGCCCTCTCCCGAAAACAGCAGATTAAAAAAATAACTATTACAGATAGGTTAAATGATATCCTAACAGTTTTTTTATTTATGTGTTTCTTCGAACACTCTATCTATAAATTGAAATCAATCCAAATTTTACATTGAATACTAACTGTTCTCATATAACAACACACAATATGTTTTAATATATTGCAACAATATCTTGACAATTTTGTTTCTAATTATTTTCAGTATGCTTTGTTAGTTCAGGAGCTGTATCAGGTATGAAATTATTTGTGTTCTCATTTAGTCTACGTGTCAATCACTTTAACATGTGTGATGCGTTAACGTGTGCTACTCTTTTATATTATATATGGTGCTGTGCGCCTCTTGTAAAACAAATTTGGCTGAAAAAATATCTAGAATACATATTTAGTAATTTTTTTCCTTAAAAAATAATACAAGAATTTTCATCATTTGATATCTTTTCAAAACCTCTGGTAATGCATGCTGATTTTTTTGTCTGTGAACTTCTAAAGGTACTATTACTTTAAATAAAGAATATCTTGAAAAATTATCAGTAGGTACAAGTAAGTTATGTAGGTTTCGTATGTTCTTAAGTTACATGAAAATTAACAGATCAGGACATTTACAATTCAGAGCTGAAAGAAAGCTAGATGTAAATCATATATATATATATGTTATGGAAATTATTCATTCATTCTCAGGATATTTAGGATGCTTCCAAGACCAACACAACCGAGTCCTGACCGGAAAGTATACACACACCAACTCCATGACTGTTGAAAACTGCAGAAAGATGTGTATGAAGGAAAACAACCAGTATTATGGTGTCCAGGTTCTTGAATTTATTAAAAAAAACACTTTTTATTGAATTGAATTCTACTGGAAATCATTGAATAGACCATGACATTTCAGGGTAATATCTTGGTAGGCTTCCTCTTGGTGCTTCTGTGGAGATGCTCTTACAAAATACGTTAAAAAACCAGAGGGAGAATGCAACATGAAATGCGTCGGGAATAAGAAGGAAATTTGTGGTGGAGGGTGGAGAATGAACATTTATAGAAACCCAGACTACAATAAAGGTTGGTATGTAGGGCACCCAGATGTGTAATCTGATTCACATTTCAGAGAAAAAGTACTCCTGGGATATTATCCAATGATTTCAGCTTGATGTGGCCAAAATCAGAATATCAAGAAACTTATTTGTTTTTGTTGTTTGTTTTTTTTTCATTCCCTTTGGATGCTAAGTCCGGAGACTATTGCTTACTTGATCTGGAATACAATCAATAAATGTCATGTTGGTAATACATAATTATGCATATCTTCTTCCTTCTTGAAATTTTGAAACTTGCATTATGTCTTACTATTTTTAAGATTCGGTCATCAAAGCGGGGCCCACGAACAAAGAAATTCATTGTAAAAGAACGTGTATTGCTAATATCGAGTCAGATTAAATTGAGCCAGGGCAGTATGAGAACACTTTTATCAATTAACAATGAAAAGAAATGTCTTAACTATTTCTGTAGCGAGGAAGTAGCTTTTCTTAGTCGACGTCGATTGCTTGTTTCCTTTATTTCGATAGCAGAGCTCAATGTATATCTTTCCAGGTTTCATTTGTTTCCAGGTGATCTAAATGACTGCAAAACGTAAAATTCTTTTTTTTTTTTTTTTTTTTTTTTTTTTTTGTTTTGTTTTGCTTTTTTTTTTGCAACTGTAATTTTTAAACTGAAACATAGACAGCTGGAAATCATAAACATTTGTTCGGCAAATTATACCCTTTGTTCACAGAATATTTAGGATGCTTCCAAGACCAACATAACCGAGTCCTGACTGGAAAGTATGCACACACCAACTCCATGACTGTTCAAAACTGCAGAGAGATGTGTATGAAGGAAAACAACCAGTATTATGGTGTCCAGGTTCTTGAATTTATTTAAAAACACTTTTTATTGAATTGAATTCTACTGGAAATCATTGAATAGGCCATAACATTTCAGGGTAATATCTTGGTAGGCTTCCTCTTGGTGTTTCTGCGGAGATGCTCTTACAAAATACGTTAAAAAATCAGAGGGAGAATGCAACATGAAATGCGTCGGGAATAACAAGGAAATTTGTGGTGGAGGGTGGAGAATGAACATTTATAGAAACCCAGACTACAATAAAGGTTGGTGTTTAGGGCACCCAGATGTGTAATCCAGTTTACTTTTCAGGAATAATCCATTTTGCATATTATTTAACGACCTCTATGATCTGCTTGATATGCCGAAAACAGAATTACATGAAGAAATAAAAGATAGTACAAAAGAGGTAGGCCAAAGTTTTTATCTCATTCTATTTCCTAGAAACGTTGATATTTTTTTCTGAGAGGTTTCGTTTGATTTTCTATAATTTTCGTCGAAAAACAATTAAATCTAGTTATATTCTAACAAAACTTTACCCTGTGCTCCTGAAACTTTCATATGAATTATTGGAAGAAGCTAAAGCAATTCCATGTCTATTCCTGGATTCTTCAACACCTAAAAACAGACAAGTGTTTTTGAATATGAATGTTTTTAAAACCACCACCTGTTACTCAAGATAATAATTCTGAATCAACCCGTCAAATCCCATTGCTTGAATTTGATGACAAAATTATGGACGCTGTAATTATAGCAACATTCTTAATCATATTAAAGTTCATTATTGTTTTCCACCATAGTTTAAATAAAGTAAACTTTTGTTTACTTCAGATATTCCCAAGCTATCTAAAACAAACTCCTCCAATTTTTTTTCTTCCCCTTCTTTCAATTATAATCAAGCTGGACACATCATAACTGGTGATATAGGTACGTATAAATCAGATAACGGCATAAATCTTCATATTAAAAGGTCCTAATTATAGGCTCAGGGAGCCCAGTTCTTTCACATCGCGATAGAACTTCATCTCTTATATTTCTAAATGAATTATGTCGAGAAGTATGCTAGGCGATTGGCTAAATATGGAGGGAAAGACATTGACACCCTGTCAGAATGGATTAAATGTTTTACATATAGGAGGGGTATTTGAAAAGTTCTGAGAACTGTTTGATAGAATATAAACTGTTTAACGGAAGTTAATGTGTTTGGTATCATTAGAAAGATCAGAAAAATGTACACATATTGTAATGTTACTTTGTATTTATTTGACTAACAAACTCTGAAAAGACGTCAGAATCCCGAGTGTTTAACATACTGTTCATCAAAATGACGTTACAAGAAACATAATTTCAGCTAAGTAAAATTTTAAAGTCAACATTCATTCATTACTCGGATGCACGCTAACGGACACAACTACCAGTAATGGTAGAATGTTTATATATACTACAGTCTATCATATGGAGGTTCTATTCAAGAGCTCTTATAGTTTTGAGGGATTTTAAGAGTGTGTCAAACATAGCATATTATTATCGAATCTCGCACTAAATATTGGAAAAAACAGACGTTGCTGTGAGATAATGACTAATTTGACAATCACAGGAGAATTGTGAAGGTGTTGCAGAATTTGCTGGCTTTTATTCGTCAGTATTTTAACCAGTTTGCGGGAACGAGTAAAGCTCAAAAGAGGATTAGCTAAGGGTATCTCATATTTTCTCAGAAAAAAACAAAATGGCGCCAATGTAGTTGAACCCCACTGTAACTCTATATGTTCGCAAATTTCAATTCATTGAAAAAAAATAAGATTGTACACGGCAATGTTACTCAGATTTGATTTTTTAATCAAGAGCCAAAATCAATCATGAGTTCCGGTGTAATGACGAAGAAAAGGTGATACCACCAATTCGAAAAGGTGATATAACCTATTCAAAAAAGTGAAGTCACCTATTCAATCTGAATGAATGAAATCAATTTTTCAAAAAGGTGATATCACAAAATGGCAATAAATACCCATTCGGCGCCTCATACAGTAGACATACATGTACACAATGATCCATACATAATGATCACGTAACGGCAGTTTTGTACCTGTGCACGTTAGTTCACTCGTTCGTTGGGAGGAAAGGTTTGTCCAACCGTTCCCATGGCTATGAAAAACAGTTTTAAAAATCTTAAATGTTAATGTGAAACTACTAGCCAAACTTGAAGATATTCGTTGACAATTTCTATCCCATGACAACGGTGATCAGTTTTAAAAATGAAAACATTTATTGAAAATCTAGAGTTACTGATCGTCATTCCTGAAACGTGTCCATACGTTTATCGAAGCCTTGTCCACGAAAATGTTTGAACAAAATAATAGGTCTCGCGATAACAATGAATCGTCCTGATTTATGCCCTGGACGAAAAAATAACAGCTTTAACCAATAGCTGCTGTGACGTATTTATTGTGCAATTTCTAATTTGTGAGCTGAGAACACAACAGGTTTAATAAAAAAAACACATGTAATGTTGTTAAAAAAAGGAGATAGATGAACAAGGCGTGTAGAACGCCCACAGGTTCACATATATAAAAATCAGATTCAATTTGTGACCTTAGTATTTACAGTAAAGTTATTATTTTTATGAAATTATGATTAACAAAACTTTTCTGAGGAACATTAGACATTCTTCCTGTCTAACTCTAGCTTCATGAAATTTTCTTTGAAAAATCTTTCCAAATGAGCCTTTGACAACTCTATTTCGATGTTCTCATGTGAAAAAAAACGCGATATTTCAGTATACTAAACACAAAGGATTTTGATGTCATTTGTGTACTAGAAGATTAATTTATGGAAAAGAAGAATAAGAATATCCTTGGACCCAGAGTGTATATTCCGGGGGAAGGGGGGTCCTGTCCACAAGCACCTGTGGTTTCTACGTCATATAAATAACAAAGTGACGTCTAAATTAAAGCAAAATTTCCAGCTCTTTTCAATGATACCAATTGCAAACTAATTAACTTCCCTTAAACGGAAAACAATTTATCAAACAGTTCTCAGAACTTTTTAAATGGCCCATCGAATACTGAAAAGTCGCATAGAAAATAAAAGGGCAAATTCGTAACTATCTATATTTCAGTTTTCAGTACACTGGAAGTGATAAAAGAATTAGAAAAATGTTTTGGTTCCAGCTGACAAAGCTTGTAACTGCATTTTAGAACTTGGTTATAACTCCACATCTTGTAATGCAACCTATACTCATAGTTCCCTTTTAAAGGATGAAATTCTTCAAAATCTCTTTTCAGTTTTAATTAAGCATTGAATCATTATTTTTTGAAAGATATAGTCTCATAACTGCAACGCTGTGTGCAAACAAATTGAGTAACGCGCGTTATGAAAAATTGTTTGCACACACAATTGCAGTTATGAGACTATATCTTTCAAAGAATTAATGATTCAATGCTAATATTTAAATTTTTAACTCCCTGTATTGACTTCAAATATGATTTATATTTCAAAATTCCTGTATTATCCTTCGGGTAAGTTACAATTAATGGAAGAGCCATTGTACGAGCTTCTGTTCAATGTGAGCGTGAATTTTGATTTTCGCTTATGACGTTGCACTTCCACGGCGTTCAACGTTTGTGACGTCAAAATAAAACGCATACTTTAACCTTTCGACCCTCTGTCTGTGTTATGCTGTTTTGAATGCCGTAGCTTTCCTCACACTTTATATGCAAAATACATGTAGAATGTAAATATGAACGTTTATCATTCCAGTCATTTGACGTTAGTTTGATTTACCGTACCTATAATGCTTTCAAAATTTCTTAAAATTCTTACAAACAAATATATATTACAGGGTCCAGTAAATGTTCAACCAAGCGCCTTTTCTTACACCTCATAAAAATATTTTCTGCTAGGAAGAAGAAATTTCAAAAGTACTGTTTTACACCATATTCCAAAAGTGGTGTAAATTAAATGAAGATTTAAAAAAGAAAAAAAAACTCCAAATAACTTCTGGAAAATTTAGAATCTTAAAAATTTTCAAACATCAAGAGCATCAATAGCTTCACGATAAATTAAAAAGCAGGCTTTTTGAAATCACAGAAAAGTGCTTCCTCAATATAAAGGGAACTCGTAAATTTTCATATCTTGTGGTTGGTCTTCTGGAAAATTACTTTGTTAATCATCATTCTGATTCTACAGATAAGTGCTCTGAATTGATATTAAAAAGTGCTGGCGTTCCTCATTGACAACATCCATGTTATTTTTTGGAGACCAGGTATTCCAACAATCTGCTGAAAATCCCAATGGGTCTTATGTTGTCGCCCGCGTGGCGCAGTGGTTAGAGCGTCTGCTCTAGAGTCGCGGGACAAGGGGTTGATCCTTACGTCGCGGGTTCGAATCCCACTGCGGGACGTGGAGACCGGTCCTTCGGATGAGACCGTATAAACCGAGGTCCCGTGTCGCAGTAGGTGCTGGCACGAAAAAGATCCCTCACTGCTCATTGGCCCTAAGAGCCGAGTATAGGTCAAAATTTGCAGCTCTCCACCGGCAAGTGGTGGCGTCTCCATACGAGTGAAAAATTCTCGAGAAGGACGTTAAACAACATACAATCAATCAACCAATGGGTCTTACATGTATTGTTCGCCTTTATTAGCCAGCCTGTTTTTTTTATTACAGTTACTATGAAGCAAAATCTATTAAAGAAAATCTTCATGAGAAGAATAAAACTCTTCCTTTGGCCTTCAATTAAACATTAATATATATCGACGACCTTTTATCAACTAAGAATGGTTATTTTCATTTACATGCCGACTCGATATATCCAAGAGAGCTCGAAATTAAGGACACAACAGGGTCTGCGACTTCTGTGTCATACTTGGATGTTTACCGACTATAGACGATAATAGTCATAAGTTATCTTAACGATCATCATCTTTTCCTTAATTATTTACAGTAAGCTTCTTTTATAACGTTTTCGGTTATAAAGTATCTCCGGATGTAAAGTAGCCATTCCGTAGTCCCGGCAGAGTGACTATAAATTTCATTGGAAAAAAACACCGCTTACAACGTATTTGTTTATAACGTAGTATCGCTTATAAAGTATTAGAAATTTGGTCCCGTTACATAATTACACCTCTTATAACGTATTGACACCTGGTTTCACACCTTTTCTATCAGCTCGCTGACCGCTGACCGCGGATTAGTCACGGTTTGTTAACTTCAAAGCTGCTCCGTAATGGGTGTTTTTGTAACGAGGTCTCTTTGCTGTTTCAGGTACATGAATTAAAATAAATTGTTTGAATAAAGTTCATCAGGTAGATGTTTTAATAATAAATTGTTTGAATAAAATTTATCTTCGAGTCAGTAAAATTTTGAAATGGCGTCTCCGGCTAAGATGAAGGCTGTGTCTCTTGATACGAAATTGCAAATAATTGAAGCAATAAATGCCGGATCTAAGTCCAAATGCAAGTAATATGACCGAAAATGACATAATTGACCAAGTCAAAGAAAAATACAGCGATTTAAAATCAACAGACCGCGACGACAGCGAGGACGACGATCCAGTGCCTGACACATGTGTACGATCTTCCAAAACGATCAAAGGGCATCTGTCAGAAATCACAACTTTTGTAAACTCGTTCGAAGGGGTTGACGACAATGTTTTCTCCGCGCTTGCAACTCTGGAGACTTTTGTTAATAAATGTAGCCAAGCCAAACAGAAAAACATTACGGACTTTTTGAAATGATCTGAGATCAATTAAGATTGTACAGCACTAACTAAGCGATTTTGAAATAATTTATACATGTAGTTTGTGAAAATAAAATGTTACTGAATATTTATCTTTTTTAATATAAGAAAATATAAGAAATGAAACCAAATGTACCTGTAAATCACTCATATGCCTGTAAATCAATTTTTTACATAGTATACATACTTTTAAAAATATTAATAACACACTATAGCGGTTTGGAACTTCCGGTCTCCGTTTATAACGTACACCAGTTATAACGTAGGATTTATCACAGTCCCCTGAGATACGTTATAAAAGAAGTTTACTGTATGTAGCAATATTCTAACATCACCTGCACATGGTATTTATGTATCCCTACTGATTCGATATCAAAGAGCATGATCTGAATATAATATGATCAATTTTTAAACCGAGGCAAGCTACTGACGAGTAAGTTGTTACAAGGATTTCAACAACCCCGTCAGTTTTTTTTTTGCATATTGTACGATCGTTATAATAATTTTATTTCTAAAAACAAATTATCGTTGAGTCGTTTTTGCAGACATTTTTCACACCATTTGTCATTGCTTTTATGCTATATTTGATCAGGGAGTACTCCATCTACCTTATCAATACATAAGGGTCATTGCGGATGTGACCAGTCGACAGGAATGCTTACTCCTCCATGACAATTGAACTCACCTCTGATATTTTTAGACGTCCATGATTCCTTTGTTTACTGGATTTGTAAGATTGACCACTGTTAGTTATCTTGAAGTTTTACATACGAAATTTCTCCTTGTATGTAATATCAAAGAAAAACAGATACACATTTTTACCCACATAATTTGATATTTAGCCTATCAGATCCCTGTAAAATGAGGATGAAATCACATATTCAATTGAGAATGAGTGTTGTTTAAAAAATTACCATTTAATATATTGCAAGTGTATTGCTGTGTATAAAGATAACTCGTCTGTTACTATAACTTAGCGAAGAATATTGATACGGATATCTTTGAGTGCACTGATGTAAATATGAAACAAATAAAGCTCGAGAATGACAAATTAACATGAAAATCTGCTACAATTTAAAGCCTTTTTGAAGAAAACGTACGTTGCAAATTGAACAAAAAATCGATAGAATGATTGAAAGGGAACAAAGATTAAAATGTAGCAAAATAAGGAAAACTGGAGCACAGTTTTAAGATATTTTGGAGATTCGAAAATTTCAGTGCAAAAAAATTAAAAGAATCAGTACATGATGTTATAATACGAGGGTTGTCGGAGAAAAAACGCGAACTTTTTTAATATTTGATTAACCACATGAGCAAAATTATTCATTTTTGGCATAATGTTGGAAAATTATATTTTTGTCATTTTGCCTAAATAATATAAGGTTCCTAGGTCATATGCATTTATAAACAACATTTAAAGGGTACTAAATATCGGTGGTCAGCGCACGGCAATTCTTGACTTTCAAAAATAGCATTGACAGAAATGTTTTCTTCGTTACCAGGCTATACGGAAATATATTGTGACAAAATTATATCATTAGAAACTTTATGATCCAGAGTACTGGTATATAAAAAAATCAATACTATGACATCGTAAATAACACAAATATGACGGTTTATGCACAAACACTATTTATTAGATATGGTCAAAAAGGGCGGCGTCGAGCAATTATGCGGCGCACCAAATTATCACTCAGTGTTGTGTGAAGCTTGGTATGACTCCTGTTCATACGGAAAAAGACCTGGGATCGGGGGAACGACAAAAATACATTTATCGATCCATTTATACATAGTAAAAGAGATTCAAAGATGAATGCACTAGTTATCCGATGGAAGAAGCGTTTGGTAGACAAATAAAAATGACGAAAAACTGAAAAGGATGGAGCTGGACGTCATACGTGGATACATGTACCACCGTTAATAATTCGAGCAGTTAGGCTTATGATTTGGGTGGGAAATTATCTATTTTAAAAAAAAAAAATATTCCTTGATTTATTCTCAACTGTAGTACTTGTGAAATCGATAACTCTGTAACTAAAACAAAATAAAATGCAGTAACGAATTTATGCTTCGAACGAATTTTTCAAGACACACGATTCCTTACGTTTTGACGTCGTCGGTGTTGCGCTGGACATATTGTAGCTTTTTCAACTGATTCGTTTACCAAAGAAAAAAATGTTATTGATAAGAGATATTTTACTGAATTTTCTGTGAATTATTCAGTTAAAGTTATTTTAAATGTATGTAATTTTTTTTTAACTTTATTATATTAGTGGAACAAAAAATATTGAAAATGTTTGCGTTTTTCTAAGACAACCCTAAGGGCTTGTATTTGACTTTGACTTCTAGATATGACCTTTATTGTACTTAAAACAGAGAGACTTCTCGTGCACATGTCCAAATATCTGTTTTCTACTATAAAGGAATCAGAGGTTTCTTATTATTTAATTACATAGGGTTTAATCGCATTTATATGGGGGTAAATACATCCTAAATGTCCAAACTTTGGGATGTCTCCATTTGTTAAAAGATAGGGTAAACACATGTCATAGTTTATAATTTTTTTTAAAGATCATTGATCATTGACATTAGACTGTTTTTATTCTTCATTTCTTGTTCGTTTTAGAAAAAAAGAAATTAAAACTGATTTCACAGGTGTGTTACACTACCCTGAGTCTCGTTTTCTAATTCCCAATGGAAGTCCGGAAACTTGTTAGTTTGTTAATGTAGAGTAAATGACAACTCATATCTTCATTGAAGTGAAACTTGAAATTTTTATAATTTTTAAGATTCGATCAGTAAAGCGGGACAAATGAACAAAGGAATTTACTATAGGAGAAACTACATTTATTTGTCAATTTCAAATCCTACAAGAATGAATTGGCAAAGAGTAGAAGGAAAGCGCTTTATCTAGTAACAGTGAAAGAAAGTGTCACTAATCTTTCAATAGATATGGAAATAACTAGATCTTCTAAAAGTGTCTAGATTACATTTATTTTCTTAAGAAAGCAAAGATCAGTGTATATCTTTTCAGGTCTGATAATATGTTTCAAATAGATCAATAAATTACTTGAAAACATCAATATTGAATTTGGAAGGGGAATTTTCAAAGTGAAACAAAACGTAAATTTATCCATTTGTTCGCAGGATATTTAGGATGCTTTCAAGATCAACACAACCGAGTCTTGACTGGAAAGTATGCACACACGAACACCATGACTGTTCAAAACTGCAGAGAGATGTGTATCAAGGAAAACAACCAGTATTACGGTGTCCAGGTTCTTGAATTTATTAAAGAAAACACTTTTTATTGATTTGAATTCTACTGCAAATCATTGAATAGGCCATAAACATTTCTGATCATATCTTGGTAGGCTTCCTCTTGGTGTTTCTGTGGAGATGCTCTTACAAAATACGTTAAAAAACCAGAGGGAGAATGCAACATGAAATGCGTCGGAAATAAGAAGGAAATTTGTGGTGGAGGGTGGAGAATGAACATTTATAGAAACCCAGGCCACAATAAAGGTTGGTATGTAGGGCACCCAGTAATGTAATCTAATTCACATTTCAGAAAAAAGCACTACTGGCATATTATCCGATGGTTTGTGCTTGATGTGGCCGAAAACAGAATATCAAGAAACTTCTTTCTTTTTTTTTTTTTATTTCCTTTGGATGCTAAGTCCGGAGACTATTGCTTACTTGATCGAGAATAAAATCAATAAATTTCATGTTGGTAACGCATATGCATATCTGCTTTCTTCCTGAAATTTTGAAACTTGCCTTATGCCTTACTATTTGTAAGATTCGGTCATCAAAGCGGGGCCCACGAACAAAGAAATTCATTGTAGAAGAAAGTGTATTGTTAATATCGAGTCAGATTAAATTGAGTCAGGGCAGTATGAGAACACTGTTATCAATTAACAATGAAAAGAAATGTCATAACTATTTCTGTAGCGAGGAAGAAGCCTTTTCTAATGAGACGCCGATTACTTGTTTCCTTTATTTTGAAGGTAGAACTCAATGTATATCTTTCCAGGTTTGATTTGTTTCCAGGTGATCTAAATGACCGCAAACGTAAAAATAAAATTCTTTCTTCTTCTTCTTTTTTTTTCAAATGTTATTTTTAAACTGAAACATAGACATTTTGAAATCAAATACATTTGTTACGCAAATTATACCCTTTCTTCTCAGGATATTTAGGATGCTTCAAAGACCAACATAACCGAGTCCTGACTGGAAAGTATGCACACACCAACTCCATGACTGTTCAAAACTGCAGAGAGATGTGTATGAAGGAAAACAACCAGTATTACGGTGTCCAGGTTCTTGAATTTATTGCAGAAGACACTTTTATTGATTTGAATTCTACTGCAAATCATTGAATAGGCTTTAAACATATTTGGTCATATCTTGGTAGGCTTCCTCTTGGTGTTTCTGTGGAGATGATCTTACAAAATACGTTAAAAAACCAGAGGGAGAATGCAACATGAAATGCGTCGGAAATAAGAAGGAAATTTGTGGTGGAGGGTGGAGAATGAACATTTATAGAAACCCAGACTTCATTAAAGGTTGGTACGTAGGGCACCCAGATGTGTAGTCTAAATTACATTTCAGAAAAAAAATTACTACTGGCATATCATCAAATTTGCTTGATGTGGCCGAAAACAGAATGTCAAGAAACTTCTTTCTTTTTGTCTTTTATTCCCTTTGGATGCTAAGTTCGGAGATTAATCATTCTGAATCTGGAATACGATCATTAAACTTCATGTTGGTAACGCATATGCATATCTTCTTTCTTCCTGAAATTTTGAAATTTGCCTTATATCTTACTATTTTTAAGATTCGGTCATCACACCGGGACCTACGAACAAAGAAATTCAATGTTGAATAAAGTGTATTGTTAATATCCAGTCAGATTAAATTGCGTCAGTGCATTATGAGAACACTGTTATCAAGTAACGATGAAAAGAAATGACATAACTATTTCTGTATCGAGGTTCTACTTCTTTGATATTTTAAATAATTTCTATTGGGTAACAGGAAACTGTTTAATATCTGCAAATATGGCAGAAGGTTGGAATTATATTTAAAAGATTTTCAAAAAATTTCATAAAAATATCGCTTAAAGGTTTGGCCATAACCCGTCTGAAAACGTTTTAAAATGGTACAATGGTAATCCAAAATGTGTTTAAAACATTTCTGAAACGTTCACCCTGAAGAAACTTTTTACAACTGCAACAAAATGTTTTGAAAATGTTTAGTGCTACTTGTGGTTGATATTGAAATATATTAACATTTGCTTTGTTTTTCTACTAAGCCAACTGTGAAATTGAATTGGAATTCATTTTTGTGTATACTCACGCGTAGAAATATACACAGTGAATCTCGCGCTATAGTGACGTCAAATTGAGGCTACAGAGACGTTAATAAAAATGTAACGATATAGGGCAGCAAGAAATTCAAATATTGAGTATATTATTGGTGCTTATTAACTCGCAAAATGTAAATATAAGGGATGTTTTTAAGTTCAGTCTGAGTATTGGTGTGTAAATCACACAGACTTGCACGTAGGCATATATTTCATGAAGCGCTAGCGCGCTTCATGAAATATGCCTACGTGACAAGTCTGTGTGATTTACACACCAATAACTCACACAAAACTTAAAAACATTCCTTAAGTGACTTTTTTCCAGAAAATTGTTCTCTCCTATAGATCAATTCTTTTGTTGCGATGAATACATTCTTCGACAAACTTTTAGATCAAAGCTCGTAATGACCTTATTCGCATATACATTCTGCCCCTGTGTCGTATTCAGACTAACATGTTTCGTATCAAATGTTTTGCCTTATTTATATATTAATTTTTATTACATATAAATTTGAAACTACATGTACATTGTATCAATACTTGGGACTTACGGTGGGTGTTGGTCGACAGGAGATGTTTTCTCCTCCTAGTCACCTGATCGAACCTCTGGTGTTCTCAGAAATTTGTTTTCACCCTGTTCACAATTCGAATGATTTACAGGATTTATGAGATTGATCACTGTTCTTTATCATTTTGCTTTTTTGGAGAGAGGGCCAGGATACCTTTGAATCGAAGTTTATAAGAATTTTCAAGTATAATATCGCAAAGTTTACGATAAATGAAATATGAAGATAACGAACAGTAATCAAGCTGAAAAGTCCATTAAATCAATACAAATTTGGAGCACAACAAACGCGGGCCTCTTAAATATCAGAGGTGGGATCAGATACATGTATCATGGAGGAGTAAGCATCTCCTGTCGACCGGTCACACCCGCCGTGTACTCCTTGTCATAAGAAGGATCCGTACACAATTCAGTAAAAAAATGATAATTTATCAAATTGTATGAAAAACGACTGTTAACATTTGACTGAATAATTAGATTGTATTTGCTGACAAGGTCATTGTATCGACCATAGCATTTTGCGAAATATTGACATTAAACCATATTTGTTAATAGCTTGCTTCATTTCATAAATGGGTCGTACGTAGAACATGCTCCTGAGTAACGAATCAACAGGTTAAGATAAACTCCATATGCAAGTGATAATGGTGTACTGCTACATAAATCAGGGAACTTAACGATAATAAGTTAAAGTCATCATTCGTATCATAAAGTTTTGTTGTTAGGTTACCATTAACATCTCTTTCTAGTAAAATATCCAAATATGAAACAGATGTCTCAGACTCTGTTGTATTTCAAGTTATTTCAAGTTCAAAGGGATATATCAAACCAATGTAGTTGCAAGAAGTACCAAAGGAAATTCTGTCAGATTGATGGAAGACTTGATCTCCAAAAACTACAGAGATATTGTCAATCAAAAATAGAGGAAAAATTATTTTCCATAAAACCCAAGTCAACAAATATTTTCAGAAATTTTGATATATTTAATATTGTTTTTCTACTTACAGGTTAAGATTAGAATTGTGAATAAATCGGTGAACTCAACAAAGTCATCATCTTTCCTTGATGCTGTTTTCTGTAATTTTTGTCATGAATTAAATGCTGCAATGAAGAATTTTTGTTTCATATCGTCCGACATCCTTACTAGAAATCGAAATAAACTATACATATGCGTCTCTCATTCCTTTTAATTTCTTTTTCCATTTAAAAACAGTTACCCTGGATGTATTTAATTTCTCTGTATAGCTTTTAAAAACATTTCCTGGAGCTATGCCAATTTTTTCCAGGGATGAAACTTTGCAATGTTGGAAAAAGACATCCTCCCTTCTCAAGGCATTTTTAACGACAAATTTGTTTGGACATTACACATAAAAGTTACAATTAGATTTCATAGAACCCCCAGAATGAGGTAGAAATTGAAAATTTTACTTAGCAATTGCATCATACCATGTGATTGTTCATATCAAACTTGCCAGTGGAGGGCTACACAAAGGGATTTTAAATTTACTCTCTAAGTGTTTTAATCTTATCCTATCTTTTTAGCATATTTCTATATAACTGATGATCAATCTTTAAAGCCGTTGGCGTGACCCTAATTTTCACATTACAAAAAATTCAAATTCAATTCTTTAAATAGAGCGCTGTTATGGAAATTAGCCGAAAAAATATGCATAAAAATCTGAAAAATATTTATGTTTCCTTGGATACGTACCCTTGTATGTAGATTCCCAAAACTTTTATGATTACATGTAATATACATGAACAACTAACCTGACTTTCAATGTTGACTACCACCTAATCTCTAACTGGATGCAAAATGCTGGCACATAGGATTTAATATTGATATAAAATTAACAAAATTGAACATTTTCCCTTCTTGGTAACCATAGCAACAGTGTTGTATTTTTCAACAAACTTTATCAATATATGATATTCAACTTTAGTTCTACCAGATAAATACTATTCAAGGTAAGTAAAATAATATGTTTCTTGATTAAAAGGTAAGTAAATTCCTAAAGCAGCAAAAAATATCACTTTAAACAACTGGTACGTTGTTTCCATGGTTACACTGCAAAGTAACAATTAATCCCATTTTTTTTTATGTTGTCGGTGTTGCAAGGTCCTAAGGATGTATATGTGCCAGCCATGAATTTTATTGTTTTTCCTCAAGACAGTAGCATTAACCCAATCTTAGCAACAGATTTTGCATGGTTACACTGTGTAACCATTGCAACCATGAAAGTTATTTTTAGCCAATACCTAATTACTTAAGGTCAAATAGTTTTATTGTTTTTCTTTGGATGTTGATTGAGTTTGATCATGTAATATCTATAATTAGTGAATGTTGAGCGTTTTTCAGCATTTTTCAGCATATAAAATGCATTCCAAATGTACCATAAGTGGCAACAAGGTGTCATGTTTTTGTGAGAATGCTTTGCTTGTTTTTCTTAGTCTTTATTAAGGGTTTATAAAGATTTAAAGTAGCTGAAAATCTCAATTTTTTCAACTTTTCTAGCTGTTACCATGGCAACAAAGACACATAGCAACGAAATTTTATTAGATATATGTTTCTGGTGTTAAGTTGTTATAATGGGCAAAGTTTCATCAAAATCGGTGACCATGCGTGGCAAAGAAGTTTAAGTGGTTACAGAGAATCGCTATTAACTCGTAGAAGAAAACTTGTCCGTGTCGACGAATAATCGACGAACATCATATTCAATTTGTCAACACGGCCAGTGCTTGTTATGCGACCGAAGCATCCAAAAATAAGAATTCAATGTTTAATCTAAAGCATTGTGTACGATGACCGAAGAGAGGACAGTCTAAAGATTATTTCTTGAATGATAATGTTAATTAATGAATTAGTGACTTTTCATGAGAGTGTAAAGACAAATGACCGTGACTTCATCAACTTACAGTGTACGATGAAGGGACAGAAACAGGTATATATTATAAAATGGTAGATAAAGAGAGGTCTGTTTAAAAGGAAATCAGATTAATACTGATAGATTAAGACATATGCTTTGTTTGTTTTTTTTTTTTTTTTGTTTTTTTCCAAAAAGAATATACTTGTAAATTAAATACTGTTTATACTTGTATGTCAATGTAAATCCATAAAGCAATTTTTTTTCACGTGTATCCATTTTATTATTAAAGCAACTTAAATAAATCACGATCGTTACAATTGACACCAAAATTAAATAAAACATTGACCTCTGATCTTTACAAACAACAAAAGGCAAAAATACATGTACAACAAAGATTTAATTTTGATATCCTCTAAGCAATTACAAATTATATTTTATTTATTTAGTTTTAAGTAAAGACGCCATAAATTAAAAGTAAAGGAAACATTCAAACATTTAAACTATTCTAATGATTCTATTTTCAATATTTCTGATATTCGGCATCTGGGGCTCGTTTCTCAAAAAGTCGTAGATTTGGCCCAAATTATTCTGACTAAATAGGTTACGCAAACATTTATACGGGTCTAAATCGCGTTTCAGAAAGCGGCGTAAGACTTGACCTAATACACAAAGACTGAGACCTCTCCGCAAAGTACTAAGCATGCGCAAATCGTTTTTATTTGGTTAAGAGACTATGATTACATGTGGCGTATCAAAGAATTAAATTTTTGTTTGATTGTTTGTTTCTTGTTTAACGTCCCTCTCGAGAATTTTTCAGTCATATGGAGACGCCACCACTTGCTGGTGGAGGGCTACAAATTTTGAGCTGTACTCGGTACTCAGGGCCATTGAGCAGTGAGGTATCTTTTTCGTGCCAGCACCTACTGTGACACGGGACCTCGGTTTATACGGTCTCACCCGAAGGACCGGTCTCCACGTCGGACAGTGGGATTCAAACCCGCGACGTAAGGATCAACTCCTTACTCCGCGACTCTAGAGCAAACGCTCTAACCACTGCGCCACGCGGGCGACTCAAATTATTAATAATACACTAAAAACTAGGAAGTAAATCACAGTCAGAAAGCATGAGCGCGTGCATGTGTTGTCTCTTCAATTAGACATACTACGAAAATCCATTTGAATATTCTAGGTCAAAGCATTTTATTTAATAACTATTTTTGTATGCTGAGATATACATGCATATACAAATTTTTAAAAAAAATGTATATAGCTACAAATTTACAAAAAAGAAAATATACGTATTACTGCTTGTGATATTTCGGTATACATTCCAACTCAAACAATGTACTTAGCATACGTACTTGTGAAAAATTGAAATAAACTATGGAAAAATAAAATCAATTTTCCTTTCAATATTTAATCACATTGTCTTTTCACTTATTGTTTTACATTAAAATAAGTACACATAAAGTAGTTGCAAAGGAATGGAAAATGAACAATTATGAAATCATATATTACTAATATACGAATAAAAAATATTTTTGAAAAATAATTAGTTGAATTGCATTTATAATTTCATATTAGAATTATCAATTCTAATTGAATTAGACTTATTGGCATTCAAGCTGATACATTTATTATAATATTACACTTAATACATGTTGCATTGACATGATAATGTATACAGCCCATGCAGATATACGCATAGATACATGTACGCATTAAAATGTATAGCTTTTTTCTATACAGAAATTCATTTTAAAAAAAACTCATTTCCAAACAAAAGTTGGTATGAGAAAAGTACGATACATTGTAAATTAATACAAATCAAGTACATATTTAAAAAAAAATGACAGACTCTGGTGCACATCTTACACCATGACAGGTACTCCTTCGAAACAAAAAACAGTTTTATGAACAAGATATTTTAATAACTGGAGCATTTTGCAAATTAACTATTTTCTGTTCCATGATTTGTGAAGGGGAAATCAACATAAAAGCTGAGTAAGCTTAGTTGCTGGCATGCTTACTGAAAATTTCTCACTATCGAAAATATTGTGTGAAGACTCTCATTCAACTTTATCCAATTAAATTTTTTCTGGAACCTAGCATCGTTTTTCAAAGAGTCAATATGTGTGTGTTGGGGGGAGTGTCTTAAATATTCAGCAACTCTGACAGTATGAGAAAAGAAAAGTAATAAGAGTGGGGACAAGCAAAAATTACCACTCAGTTTAAAAAAAAAAACACTTTTGCATGTACCGAGAAACGCTGGGACAATTGCAGCCCACCTCCCCGTAATACGCGTTTTTTTTTTTTTTTTTTTTTTTTTTTTTTAAAAATCCCTGACACTTTTTAATGTATTGCACAGTTTCACAATTTAAAATTATCTCTAGTTCAAGTCTGCATCCCTGATGGATTTTTTACAACCTTTCTTCTTACCTATATAATTATATATTTCAAGATTTTTGCAAATCATACTTGTTTATGAATAGGTTTTGTCGTGAACCTGTAGATTAGGTTTTCTTTGATTATTTTTTAGCAAAGCATTTAGCTTTTTTAAAGTTGTAAACAGACTAAAAACTTACGCCTACTCATGACCAGGCATAGATTTAAGCCATGGTTTAATCTCGTCTTCAATCTCCGCCTTTTTGCGAAACGCAACTTAGTCCGATATCCAGGTTTATTCACTGATTTAGTCCGGACTAAGCTTACGCCTGGCCGTAGGCCTTTTTAAGAAAAGGGCCTCTGCTGTTCAAAAAAAAATTAATTTCTTTCTTCATTTACAAGCTGATTGCCCCCTCCCCCTTTGTTGCTGTAAGGTCGAGCACTGGCAAATTTGAGGATTTGATTGAAAAAATGTAAAATGTACCAAAAAGTAAGAAAAAAACTAACCCCCATCCCGAAATAGGATTTTTTTTAGGTTGCCCCTTCCCCACTTTTGAAAAAGTTCTTACATACCAGAAATCATCAATATACATATTACAATGTACGCTGAAATATTGTTGAATAATATCTTTCATATACCACTGGTTACAGTTAAGGCATCAGATCTATTGGAGACGTATAATTTTAACTCGCATTGAGGATGTCAGTCTTTCATGAGCAAATGCATATTGTTTAATTGGACAATTCAAGCTATCCTCTTCCTCTTAAAAATCTGAGAGCTCTTAACATTTCCCCGAAGATCAGCTGAATTATACGTGTCAGAGTTGTCAATCAAATTTTTTTGACATC